ATAAGGCCCTCAACCCCTAAACCCTCAGCCCGAAGTGCAAGGGGCTTAGGGTTTTAGGGTTTAGGGTTTAGGGTTTAGGGTTTTGGGTTTAGGGTTTAGGGTTTAGGGTTTAGGGTTTAGGGTATAAGGGGGTTATGCTATGGGGGGCTTAGGGCTCTTAGGGCTTTGGGTTTAGGGCTTAGGGCTTTGGGTTTAGGGCTTGAGGACTTAGAGCTTAGGGTTACCGTATGGGGTACTGCTATAGGGCTTACTACAAGGACTACTAGGAGGGTTATGTCAGAGCCTAGGGTGTCGCTCTTGGCTCTTGGGGTGAGGGGCTTTAGGGCTGTGAGGAGATTGGGTCTAGCGGTTGTCCAAGGGAATCTCTTGTGACCCGGGTTGGTTCAGGGCTTTGGGTTTACGGTTTTGGGCTTAGAGGGGTTGAAACCCCAGATCTTAAAAGAGCTTAAGCCGTAAAGCATTACAAGTGACTAAACCCTGAGCCTAGGCCACTAAGCCCTAAAGCCTAAGCCCTAAACCCAAACCCAAAGCCTTATGCCTTATTCAGAAAATCACAGTGCAGCTCTCTAAAACCTGCATGTTTTGAGCAATGAGCCCTGCTTGCTGTGCCCCTGCTTGCTCGACGCAGCTCATAGCCCCGACAATCCCAAAAGCACAGTGCACAGAAGCCTCATGCCCCTGAACCCTAAACCCTAAAACCCTAAACCCTAAGCCCAAGCCCTATAAAGCCAGATCCCAGACCGCTTAAGTCCTACACCCTAAGTGCCGGGGAGGCCCCTTAATGGCCCCGCATTCGGAGGGTCTTGTGCCTTTGTGAGTTTGGGTTTGGGCGTTAGGCTTTAAGGTTCAGCGCTTAAGGCTTTTAGGGTTCAGGGCTTAGGGCTTTTAGGGTTTAGGCTTTTAGGGTTTAGGCTTTAGGGTTTAGGCTTCAGGGCCTTTACACTCAGCATTCTGACTATGAAAACCCTGCAGTAGCCCACATAACCCATTTTAGCAATCTTCCTATATATGCTAAGTCAAGGGAACTGAACTGTCAAGCAACTACTAGAGAGCATGGAAACACTAAGCACGTAAAGAACAGGAGACTGACTGGTAGTAGACAGCAGTGATGGCAACAGGAATCCATATCTCCCACCTGATGGTGGAGGGGGGGGCGGCCCAGCAAGTAGTTATGCTACAGGTTTATAAGTACCAGGACCCCATGTAGGATCCCACTGAAGGCACTTGTACTCTACTTACGAAGTCCTCCGACCCTCCAAGCAGACCCCGTGCTCCAGTTTGCTTTGACCCTGAAGCCTTAAAAGAAGAAGACCAAGGCTTAGGCTCAAGGGTTTAGGGTTTAGGGTCTAGGGGTTTAGGGGTTTAGGGGTTTGGGGGTTTAGGGTTTAGGGGTTTAGGGTTTAGGGCAGTCTGGGGTTTAGGGTTTAGGGGTTTAGGCTTTAGGGTTTAGGGTGTTAAGCTAGCAGTAAGGCTAAATGCTTTCACTGTGAGTTGCGTTCTCTGCTGCTGCAGTTGATCGTGGTGATGATGGTGATGATGATATCATGATGATCATGATGATGATGGTGCTGGTGGTGAACATCGCCCGCAGCCACCCATCCGACCTCGAGCCTGGTTTTCGTGAGAGGAGGCCGAATCAACCCCGTCTGGGTCAGGGGGCGAGACGAAAAGAGAAAGTTCAACGGCCCACGACGAAAGGTTGAGTTAAAAAGAGAGAACATGCACTTATCCCAAAGCCCAAAGCACCAACACTTCAGCTCCCTCCCCACAACATTCCAGCTACCCAAGACCCCATGCAGACAACATGCCCCAAAACCTCAATCGTACAACCTGAATATCCCCTGAGTAAGCATAATGATGCTAATAGCCCAAAAGCATACCATTCACGGTGCGGTGCCATGAAACTCTAAACCCAAAGCCCCATGAAACCCGTAACCTCAAACCCCAATCACGGAACCCTAAACCCTAAACGACCTCCTAAACCCCACGCAACCCGAAACCTTAAACCGCATGAAACCCTAAACCCTAAACACTTCTAGTTCTCCAAGACCCAACCTTTAAACTTTTTGGGTTCTTATGGTCCAGTAGCAACCTGAAAGTTTAAGCTTTAATTTCTGTGGCTTATTGGGGAAGTAAGAAAAACCCTAAACCCTAAACTCCTAAACCCTCAAACCCCTAAACCCGAAGCCCTACACCCTAAACCCCTAAACCTTAGACCCTAAACCAAATGAAAGCCTGTGGAAACTGCAAGCTGCACCACGGCAGGGGGTCTGGGACCTGACATGACCTGTCATGGTACCCCTTCCAAGCAGCCCTTGTGGGAACCCTAATTCGAGGGTTTAGGGTTTAGGGAGCCCTTGTAAGAATTCGGAGGAATCTAGAATCTAGGACGGAAACGACACGTGGTGGGATGTCGACGCTCAGGACTAGGGCTTCGGGCTTAGGGCTGATAAAGGGTTAACATTTCATAGGATTCATATCGATTCTAATATAGATGGTCGGTTTTAAAGGAAGTAACTATGGTGTAAGATCTCCATCATGCGCGGCCCTTGATCATGTAAAGATGAAGTTATAAGGTTTCCGATCCCGGAATCTTCGGGACCCCCTCACCTGATCATAGTATCGTGTGGACTGGACATGACCAACAAGGAAGGCAACTGGAGGCTTACATAGTGTAGGGGCCTTAATAGTTAGAACGGGGTTTTGGGGCCCACTATACTATAATTATAGTAAGGAACCCCCAGAATAGCATAGGTAACTATTAACGCCCCTATATTATGTCAATAGAACCGCAGGTAGACCACTCTACATTTTTCAGATCCCCTGCGTGCTTCCATGTACGGTGCTACTGCCGACTCTTCCGTGCTTATCTCCGAGAGCCACATGTTCTATCAACCCTAAACCCTAAACGGCCCTGAACCCTGTACTCTCGAGTCTTGAGGCTGTTCTGGACGCCTGCCGGACGCGAAGCACGGCTTCTCGGTTCCCGCGGAGCCGTTGGAAGCAGCCTGTTGCAGAACAAATACAGAGAAAAAGGGCTCAACAAATCTTGTTTCGAGGGATTCATCTACAGAACCCCCAGGGTCTGCAGTAGGGCTACAAAACACTCTGAGGGTTAGGATGCGTCTGAACTTGCAAAGATCATACCCGAGCTTCTTCGAGACCATTGCTAAATCCCGTGTCTGATCTCCTCAAGATCTCTTGACTGGGGTGCGCTCAAGACTAGATGCACTGACTCACAAAACAAACTCACAGATTCACCTCATGGCAAACCTTGTCTGGATTTTTTCTGTAGAACGCGGAGGGATTACTCTGCCAAGCTCTGTGCTTCGGCGTGGAGGCTGCTGGCTTGATTCTACAAAACGATAAGCCGAAAGCATTAGACCCGGTGTCGAGATTTTATAAACTCCTTTCCGGTGAAAAGCATTGGATGCTTGATGGTACTGGTACGGTGAAAGGGTTGACCGATTTACTGCAGTCTATTGCCGCTGTTACTGTCGGGATCCGAAGCCGTAAAGCATAGCATAAACTGCCATAACCCCTGAAGCATCCTTAAACCCTCCATAACATTGCCAGAAGCAGCCCCGCGGCAGCAGTGTGCGGTTTTTCCGGATATCAATGCGCCAGCCAATTGTGAGAAAAAACAAACGTTCTGCACTTGTGTTTGGATGCAAGGATGGACAATCGCCAGCAGCTAGAACTCGAGAATGGTTTATCGAACGCACCGTGCAAGTCACGAAATAGTCAACAGATGCTGCTCAGGCTCCCGACGAATGTCAACAACTTTGACTTGTATGTGGATCTGGACATGTTGATGCAAGAGTGTGCCGTGACATTCGTGAATTTCGGCCAGCAACGTCTTTACGATGGTGAAACTCTCTCAGACAAGCCGCCTGCTGCAATTAGTTCAGCCGCTGAAGGTTGGTGCTGGAGGACTTCAGCGAATTCAACTGCTTATTGGCTTGACACTGCATGCAAGGTCAGGGTATCGTTGCCCCAGGAGCTGCATAATAGCTGCAACTTCGGCTTCACAGGCCTTGCGATGGTGAAACTCCCTGAGAAACGACTCCCGTTGCAGTTCAAGCAAGTGCTCCACTTCGAATCTTGATACCTTTTCCTGCTGGAGCTGCTGCCGCACCTCTTCTGCAGCTTGCTGTGCCTCGGAGGCTTTGCCTCGAGCCACCTCCAGCTCCGAGCGGAGTTGCTGCAGGGTGGTCGATTCTTTTTTCACGGTGGCGCAGGCAGTCGCCTGCTGCGTGGCATGCTCGAGCAGAGCTGCCAACAGCTCGGTCTCGCACTCTCGCTGTTTCAATGCAAGACTGTGCGTCTTGCTCGGATTTTCGGAGGTCTCCTCCAGAGGCTGGTGCAACTCGATCTTCTTCTCGTGCACCGCCGCTTTGGCCGTCTCGAGTTCTGCCAAAAGTCTCTTGATCTCGTGGTCTTGAAGCTCGAGCTTGTCTTGCATCTGCCGCTGCAGCATCTCTCCCCTCCTCCGCTCATCCCTAATTTGGGCCTTCAATTCCTGCGAGACCCGTTGCTCATGGTTGAGCAGGAGGCGGGTCTCGTCCAGCACAGCCTGAAGCTGCAAAACCTGATCGTTTAAGGCATTGTCGCAACTGGCTGGCTCGCAGACCCAACTTGCCACACTGGTGATCTGGGTCCAGAGAGCGGTCATCCTGCGTCTAGGAAGCTACGCCGACAGGGTGTTGAAGAATCTGACACCTGTGTGCTGGAGCCGAGCGATTCGGAAATAGCCATGCGAACTCAGCAGAGCTTTGGAAAACGTCACTGCATACTGCTGCACACAACCTGAAGGCCTGAGTTTTCTCGTGAAGCGATAACAGTGTGCCATCCAATTCTGAGAGTAGGAGAGTCATCAGTTGTCAAGTGTTCCACAAGTGTATGTCAACGCAAGGTTGGCGAATCTTCAGCAGTAAGAACTCGAGAATGGTTTTCCGAATGCGCAATGCAAGCCACAAAGTACTGCATCAACGGATGCTGCTCAGGCTCTGTTGTAATGCTTCCGACGAATGTCAGCAAATTCAACTTGTAGGTGGATCTGTACATGTTGATGCATGATCCAGGGCAACGCAACGATGATGTGTTTGCAAACATTCCTCAACTTTGGCTTGTGAAACTCCCTCATACAACATGCCCGCTGCAATTCGTTCAATTGCTGCAGCTCGATGCTGGACTTTCGGATGAACACGCGCCTAAGACAGTCATTAAGCGTTCGTCTTGTGAGGTTGAGAGATGAACTTGGCCCTTCAACTAATTCAACTGCTTATTGGATTGACACTGCATGCAAGGTCGGGGTATCTTTGCCCCAGGAGCTGCATAATATCTGCAACTTCGGCTTCACAGGCCTTGCGATGGTGAAACTCCCTCAGAAACGACTCCCGTTGCAGTTCAAGCAAGTGCTCCACTTCGAATCTTGATACCTTTTCCTGCTGGAGCTGCTGCCGCACCTCTTCCGCAGCTTGCTGTGCCTCAGAGGCTTTGCCTCGAGCCACCTCCAGCTCTGAGCGGAGTTGCTGCAGGGTGGTCGATTCTTTTTTCACGGTGGCGCAGGCAGTCGCCTGCTGCGTGGCATGCTCGAGCAGAGCTGCCAACAACTCCGTGGAGGAGACCTCTAAAAATGCGAGTAAGATGCACAGTCATGTATCCAAACAACGCGAATGCGAGACAGCTCGCACTCTCGTTGTTTCAATACATGACTGTGCATCATACTCGGATTCTCAGAGGTCTCCTCCAGAGGCTGGTGCAACTGGATCTTCTTGTCGTGCACCGCCGCATTGGCCGTCTCGAATTCTGCAAGGAGTCTCTTGATCTCGTGGTCTTGAAGCTCGAGCTTGTCTTGCATCTGCCGCTGCAGCATCTCTCCCCTCCTCTGCTCGTGAGACCCGTTGCCCATGGTTGAGCACGAGGCGGGTCTCCTCCAGTGCTGCCTGAAGCTGCAAAACCTGATCGTTTAAGGCATTGTCGGAACTCGTTTGTTCGCAGACCCAACTTGCCACACTGGTGATGAGCGTCCAGAGAACGGTCATCCTGAATCTACGAAGCTAGACCGAGAGGGTGCTCAAGAATCTGACACCTGCGCGCTGGAGCCGAGTGATTCGGGAAGGGCCATGTGAACTCAGCAAGTTGGCAAGTACAGCTGGCATGCTCTCGCACTCAAATCCATGCTAGCCGCTGGCACCCATAAACCCTAAACCCTCTCCCCCTGCCCAGCCGTCCTGCCTGGCAGCAGGGCACGCCATGACAGAGCCATGGCGACAAACTTGCACCAGTTACTCCCTCTGTGGTTTGGGGCTTCCGCTGCTCAGTCTGGCATTGCAGTAATATAGGGGCCTTAATAATTAGAATACGGTTTTGGTGGTATGTTATGCTATAATAAGGTGTTGGCGGTATATTGTACTATAATAATTCTGCAATAAGCAACCCCCCCATAACAATGCTAAGTAGTGATGAGGGATTCTATATTATGCAACTATACATGGCATCATGAGGAACCCCCAAAACCCTGTTCGAATTATGAAGGCCCCTAATACAGAGCCTTGAAGGATCCCTTTAAAGGAACCCATGTAGTACATTATACTATATTTATAACAAGGTCCCTACATCATCCTTCTGTCACTGCCGGATGCTGGCCTGGCAGCGAGTCACACTTCAGGTAATCCCAAAAACTTCTAGGGGCCTCAGTAGTTGGAGTAGGGTTTAGGGTTTAGGGTTTAGGGTTTAGGGTTTAGGGTTTAGGGTTTATTATCGGGTTTAGGGTTTAGAATGTAGGGGCTAGCGATGTTCCGAAGCATCGCCAGCATTGAACAAGCTCGGCTAGCTGATGAAGCGTGGTGGGAACTGCCCAGGAAGGCCAAAACACGCCCGTCCGTGGCTTTGGGCGCAGTAGAGTCTATACTCTTAGGGCTTAGAGAGCCCTGGTTTGCAGATCCCGCCCCTTCGAAGCCTGTTTTAACAAAGTCGCCCTCAAGAATATGACCTGGAGAGGTCTTGATCTGCAAGGTTTCGATCAACCCACAATCCCAGCAAGACATGCCCTCAGACCTTCTCGGACCCTGCTTGACGGGAATCTTACAGCAGAGAGTAGGGTTTTGGGTTTATATAGGGGTTTAGGGTTCAAAGCAGGACAAGCCTGAGAAAGGATCACTCGGGATTCACGCAGCACTGGAACTCAAAGACCTCGAGACTTGCACGAAGCTCCCGGACCGGATGCTACAACATGCCACATGCCGAGATATCATCATCATCATCATCGTCAGCATGATCATCATGATCATCATCACCATCATCTTCATCATCATCCTCATTAATCATCATCAATCATCAGTCATCGTCATTATCCCCAAGCCCCCTAAACCCGACGCCATACCTATGTTACTGACCAAAGAGTAGCAACCGGTGTTCGGCAAGGCCGGCCGCCGGTTCGTATGGCCTAGATCACAGGCAGGCTGGTGTGCAGATACACGACGTATGCATGTGTGTGTGTGTATACATGTATATGCACATGTACTATACACACAAGCGTAGGCACGTGTGTAGTTTCTTTGCCTGTGTCCATGTCCATGCCTATGTCTTTCTCTACGTGTATTCAGACATCTCTTTAAAACTTATATTCATGCTCATGTCTGAATCTACATTTATCTAGATCTATATCTTACAATACCTACATCTGTATCCCTATCTATATCTCTGCCTATAAAAAAAATATATATATATATATATATACATATATGTATCTCCATATCTATATGTTGATATAGCTACCCACCTAACTATATATCTATGTTATCAAACTATAATACGGGTAGCTATGTTTATATTTAACCTGGACAACGACCACAGTAAGCGTGAAGCATGGCCGCTTTGAACCTTGAATAAAGATAAAGCTCAACTCCATCTACCTATCGATTCGAGCCAGTGCTAGGTAAGGTGTTTCCGCACACTCAGGAAACTTTTGCAAGGCAAGTTATGCAACAATTGCCCTTTCAACGAAGATGCATTCATACGCCGGAGCACACTGCAGGAGGCATAGCAACAGGGGCGAGCGGCGGGCGCACCTGGGAACTCCAGCCAGCAGCACCGTGCGGAAGCGCTCAGCAAGCGCTGCGAAGTCAGCCTTTTGCCGGAAGCGGGGTTACCCTAAACCCTAAAGCCTTCTGGCTGAGATAGATTGTAGCTTCGGGGTCTTCGGGCTTCGCTGTCGCTTAGCGTGTTTCTAAGTAGCTCCATTCATATGTGGCAAGGGCCCGGATGCAGATGAGTTTCGGAGACCTGTAACGCGATGCCTAAACTGCACTACTGTCTTGCTGGCATTGTTGAACAAGGTCGGCTGCAATGACCTAGCAGGAACATCTGAACTCTGCTCCGCTGTCTGACATCGACACTTGGATCTCATGATCAGGCGACTCCCTCACAAGCACTTGGGAACTTGAGAGCGGCATGCTCTGGAGCGAAGGCTTGTTGGAAAAACATGGGACAAGTTCAACTCCCCATCCTCGTGGGGTGCTGTTCGGTCTGCTTCGGCACGGCTGCAGTGTCTCTGGTGGTCGATAGCTGGCTCAGCTCAAGCATTTTCAGGAAATTGATTGTTGTTGAAAGGGCGGTTGTCAACGATGTGACGCCTGCACTGCATTTCCCAACATGCGAGTCGTGTTTGCCACGACAGCTGATGTGTCCTAGGAGTCTGCCCATCGCCGCGAACATCCTGTCTGAGCGAGGAAAGAACACATGCCGAAGGTGTGAGTGTGTGTGGCTCCCGCCGGCTTCAGCTTATATAGGGATCGGGGTATGAGGTTCAAAGCGTCGGCTTTCTATCTGCGAACCCGACCTCACCACGATCGGCAGCACAAAGGTCCTCGAAGCGAACGAGACACGCCTTGCCTCACCGGGAGTTACACTCACTCGGGGTTTTGGGGGTTTAGGATGGTTCGGGATGAACAGCACCCCGACTAATTACCTTAATTACCATCAGTTCTGGTCGTGTGAACCAACATGATACTCGAGGCTTGAAAGGGAAACGTACGGGGTCGAGCTATGCGTAGTGTTGGTACACTTAAAATCCTGGGAACAACTGCGAATAATTAATGTGATACCACAACAACTACTACTACTACCACTCCCCTCCTCCCGGTACTGCTGTCATTGCTACTGCTACTGCTGCTACCACTGCTCCAACTACTACTGCCGAAGCTATTGCTACTCCTACTCCTACTCCTACTCCTACTCCTACCCCTACTCCTGTTCCTCCTACGACCACTACTCCCACTAGTGACTATAAAACTGCCACTACGACGATGCCGTAGAAGTACCCCTTCACTCCCCATCGAAACATCTGCTTGCCTCACGTGACTCACACTATATAATAATACATAATAACACTCTTGTGCTACATAGTAATACCATACTGCTAAAATACTATACTACCATACTACGAGAATACTATAATCCTCTAAAACTTTGATACTATGATATTATAACACCATAATACTAACTATAATACTATAATACTATAACACTATGCTACTGTACTACTATACTACTATACTACTGCAAAACTAAAACAGTATAGTACTATAAAAGCTATAATACTGCAACACTACAATACTATAGCACTATAACAATGCTATAAGACTACATACGATAATACTAATAACTAAT